CCGCTCTCTGTCTTTCGTCTGGTCGTCGCTATATATATATATATATATATCACTGAGGCGTTCTAGAAGTCTCCGTGGCTTCGACATCAATAATTTACAAACACATAATCATCTGCTTTTAACTCTCTTCTTATGAAAAAAAAAACTAAAAAATCATGAACTATTAACTCACAAAATAAATTAATTAATACTACCTATACTAAACAGTCTTTTATATCTGACACAGTTTTTGTTCTCAAAATTGTGCTCAGAAATTTTCAGATTTACAAACCGTGCTGGTGTTACCCTAAAGTTAGTAAAATCGTGTTTTTATGCTCATTAAATGAAATTGTATTGTACAAAATACAATTGTACTGCTACTGGTAACAATTAGTTGGTTATTGGCTTGTCAGGTGAAATTTTTGAAGGAAACATTGTTTTATTTTGTGATTTTTTTTTTAATTTTTGATTGATTCTCATATAGTATCTTGTTTTTAAAAAAACATATAGAACAAAGTGTTTAGGATTTGTTTTTACTATTTCGTTCATTTCTACTTGACTTTGAAACTTGAATAATGTTTTCTTGTCCCTTTTTTTGTGGTTTACTGATGGTTTTGATCAGGGGGGATCAGCGGTAAGTTTATGGACTTACAATGCTAAATCCGGGGTTCGATTCTACACTCAGATAGTTGTGTAGCTTTATGCTAAAATAACAAAGTTTTGTATATCAAAACTCTTGAATGAGCGTTGTTCCCCAAGACGTGAGAAGAAAAACTTTAAAACTTTTTCTAGTTTTATCTTTGACGTTTCGGGCAGACACCTTTCGCGAGGCAGTAAAATCCTTGTTACAATGGAATTATTCTCAAAAAAGCCTAATTACATTTTAACGCGGTCTCTACTACCTGACGAGGGGCGTCTGCCCAAACGTCGGACAGTATAAAACTAGAAAAGCGTTCACTTAGACGTATCAATTAAAGTGTAACCAGAACTCAATTGATGTTAGCAACAATTTTTGCAGACAGATCATATTTTTGTAATACTAAGTACATTTTATATTCAAACAAAATTTTAGTATAATTTATCTCATGTTTTCACTGGGAATCTTTTATGTAAAAGTGAACCAAAACATGAATGCTAAAATAGTTATAAACTCTAATATCCTAGTGAGTATTTATTCTTGTCTTCGCAAATATGTGATCACGTTAGAAAAGCACAGATGGATTGTTGGGTAGTTTCCCGTGAATAATTACACCGTACAGGCATATTGCACACCTGTTCTTATATTTCGTAATAACACAGTGTCATCAGTATAGGTACGCGTGCTTTGGAAGGTTGTTGCATTCCTGCTTTACAGATACTGAGAAACCATGGGCGTACGTTGAAGTTGATTATATTTTGGTGTTGCTTTCATGATATGGTGGAAACCATATTTCCCACCTAACAATTCTTTTTAATAGAACAAAAGCGACAACTGACTTAGTATTCCTGCTGAAAGACAATTCCAAGTACACCACGAAGAAAGCTTATATTCAAACGAAAATGGACTTCTGGTATGTACTAAGTTGTTGTTTTTTCTTCTGTTGATAAACTTATTGTGATTATTTTGAAACCTCCTAAGGTCATGGTTTGAAGGATCGAGAGTTTATCTTTAATAATATTACGTATGATAAAATAAGATTGGTAGTTACAATATTTTTATGTCTGTTTTAATGGTAATTTTGTTTTAATCACAACCTGAATAGAAGCTCTAGTCTTTGTTTTTGTTGTTTTTAAGACATTTTAGTTTTGACGAATACAGTCTTACGACGCTTAAAAGCCCATAGGAATGAAGTAGGAACAATTTATACACATTTCAATGCTTTTTATATTGCCCCCTAGTGGCACAGCGGAAAGTCTGATAGCTTACAAAGCTAAAAAACCTGTTTTCTATATACCCGTGGTTGACAAAGCACATATAACCCATTCTGTAGCTTTGTGCTTAATTAAAAATGAACAAAACTTTTTGAAATCAAGAACTTGAGTCGTGGCGTTTACTAAATAAAGTTTCAGAGCATAATATAATATTTGATGTATGGTGTTTGATAGAAGATAACAGCTTCTTTGTAAAGAATAACAACAACATTAGATAACTTTCCTATTCATACTAGCCCCCAGTGGCTCATTGGTACGTCTGAGGGCAATGCTCATTGTGTAGCTTTGTGCTTAACAATAAAGGAACGCCCTTATCAAATGCCTTGCCAAACACTGTCAATAGATGGCACCACATTCATAATTAATTAATTAATTTGTTTCTTTTAGAGCAAGCCCCATTGGGCTATCTTCTGTATCCACCGCGGAGGATCGAACCCCGTATTTCAGCGTAATAAGTCCGCAAACTTACCGCTGTCTCATTGGGAGACTCCATAATGAAAACTAGCTGTTTTGCTATTCTTTTTTTAGGGACAAGGCTACACAATGAGCTATATGCGATCTGTCTACCGTGGGGATACAAATCCTGGATTTTAGCTTTGTAAATCCATATGCTTACCGCTGATCCATCGGAGAATAAATCAGCTGCTATTTCAGACGCATTTGACAAAATCATGAAGGTATTTGAACAGAAAGTTTCAGGGTTAACTTTCAACTACTTAAATACTTCCCGATTCGAAAAGCTAGAAACCGTTGCCATATTTGCGAAAACTATAGTGTTATTAGATCATCGTCTTCCGTAAATTACAACCGATATGTTATAATTTAAGTAATATAGGGAAGAGAACATGTTTGTTTGACCTCTGATGTCACAGAGGTCATAACCGATTCGTACCGGAATGGCTCCTTCCAGTGGATATAGTCTTATTGGATGGCATCAACATAATTATATATCAATCCACATTCATAAATGTTAATTAATTACCCCGTGGATTAATGGTTGTCCGCTTTCATCGCCTATATTCATTATTAAATACCCTCTGATGCTAGAACATGTCCTAACACTATTACTACTCCTTTGGCACTTGAACATGCAGGATAATCCCATCATTAATAAAATATATAATAACTTAAATTATTAATTACCCTCAGGCAATACACTACGTTGTTTCATCTCCTCCATATTAATAATAATATGACATATTAGTAGCTTGCCACATCTCTGGCTCTAGAGTGTATCCTGACGCAACTCACCATTGGTTGTCTAGTCTAATGCTCAATGTTTTTATATGGTCTACTCTACATTTTGTCTAGGGTTTGAAGACGACATTTTTAATTCTGTGCTAAGTTCTTACTTTGATTGTTTTATATGTACTGCTCTTACCTTCTGTTTAGTTATGGAAACAACGTTTCGAACTCTGTGCTGAGTTATTACTCTGATAGTTACACATTGGCTACACTTGCCTTCTGTTTAGTTTTGGAGACGAGGTTTCGCATTCTGTGCTGAGTTCCTTCCCTTGTAGTTTCATTTGGACTACCTCTGCGTTTTTTCTAGGCTTATGGATGAGGTTTTGAGCTCTGTACTGATAGACTTAAGAAAGCCCTCTCTAAAACTATACAGAAGGTAGGAGTAGTCCATGTGAAATTATTCAACATGTCAACTCACTGCATAAATATTTCTTTAAAAGAAGTCTTAATGTTCTTCAAACAGTGTAATACTCCCAGATTTTGAGTGCACAGTTATAACATAGTCATGAACTAATTCAAGTTCTAAAGTTCTGACGACTAACTCACAGTTGATACTTATGGAGTCGTAATAGAACAATAGCTTGATGATTGATCAACTCATGGTAAGGGCCTTTATGACCCATTGAATTTGAATGCAGAATGAATCGAGAAAGGCACCTCAATGACTGTCAAACAGTTTAAATCCACACCGCCACATCAAAGCATCTTCCATTGGTAAGGTCATCCAGCTGTTGTTTGTCTAACGTTAGTTCATAAGCAGAGGTTTTCTGCGTAAACAATGATCATGAATGAAAGTGCAGAAGAAAAATAACTGACTACACAGTAGGACTTTCGAGGCTGTTGCCCGCGCCGGGAACATTTAGACCACACTCACACACATATATTTTGTTTTCCTTTTTAAATTGTTAATGCCATATATATATTTCATCATATAGGGAGTCACTCATGAGTATTCTTGTTCTTATTTTATTCATTATCAAGTGAGTGCATCACCAGAGATTCAGCAAATGTCTTCCATTTTGCACAGTTGCCTGAACTGCTTCCAACTCATCAACTTCATCTTCATCCATGAATTTTCGTCTTTTTTTTTTTACCTACTTATGAACTGGTCTGTGATCGAGTTGTTAATCTTTCTAGAATTTTTTTTCTTTGATAATTCTTGGACAAACATTCTTCATATACATTTGTCCAATCTCCTCAAGAAACATCCAAAAGAACTTGGAAAAGACCGCAGTACTCACTGTACTATATATCATATAAATATTATATCACTATTAACAGGTAAAGCATGTTAAAAAGCCAGTCCATTTTGCTTTTGCTAAAAAAGCGACCATGATAACCTACACAAGACAGAATGATCAGTTTTGATGTACTAACCTATTCCCTAATAAATCAACCCATAGACACTATAAATATAATGCAACAGCTTGAAAATGATGGAGCTTTTGAAGGAACACACCAACTGACAATCTCCATGATGATATAACTCGCAATCTTTTGTATCAACTCAGCTTATTCCAACATGAGGATAACTACTACCCACAACAAGTAGGCCTAGCTATGGTCAATCACGAGGAATGAACAGAAAAATAATCACAGAAACGCAGCCATATTATCCTATATTATCATAATTACTTATTTTACTTAATCTAGTCTTAAATAACTTAAAAAGATCTGTATTTTTAATTTCAGTTACTTTTATGATAAGAAATAAAGAATGAATATGAAAAATCAAGAGTTTATTGTTTGGAATTAAGCACAAAGCTACACAATGGGCTATCTGTGCTCTGCCCACCACGGGTATCGAAACCCGGTTTCTAGCGTTGTAAGTCCGCAGACATACCACTGTGCTACTGGGGGGCGAAAAACAAGAAATAAAGTACTTACCCAATCTTCTTTTTTCTTCTCCTCGATTGTCGAGGAGAGTTAAGCCTGATTTTTTATAGTAATTATAGTGCAGCAATTAACAATTTTTATTTAATTAAATAATGCACCAAAGAATATATATAATAATAACATGAAAAAAGTAGACAAATTCATTTGACTGTTTGTGTTTGAATTTCGCGCAACGCTACACGAGGGCTATCTGCGCTAGCCGTCCCTAATTTAGCAGTGTAAGACTAGAGGGAAGGCAGCTAGTCATCACCACCACCGCCAACTCTTGGACTACTCTTTTTACAAACGAATAGTGGGATTGACCGTTACATTATAACGCCCCACGGCTGAAAGGACTAGCACGTTTGGTGTGACGGGTATTCAAACCCACGACCCACATATTGCGAGTCGAGCGCCCTGACCACCTGGCCAACAAATTCACTTACTTCTAAAACTTTTCCTTGCTTTCTAACTATGAGACAAGAGCCATTACTAATTCATCCAAGCTCGTCCTTAACTTTCCCACGGGAACGATGTTGCTACTCTGAGTGAAATTGACTATTATCTGTTCAGAATACAATATTATACAATACGTCATTTGATGGATGAAAATCTTGACTTTCTATTGGTTATAGGTAAATATATAATGAAACATAAGAGAGAACTATCAACGAATTGTGAAAGAGAGGATGTGAGAGATGGGTGTCGCAGGAGGGGTCTGATTGTCTTTTTGATAACTCTGTAACCAAACAAAATTGAAGGCTATAAAAATTATGGTTTGTTTGAGCAATAACGATTTTACAGAGAGCATTTTACGTTTAATTTCGTACATTTTCGAGGGGTGATGAAAAAAATAGGGATGATGACATGCTAAGACAAAGTATGTTACGTGGGTCACATTAGTGAAATTCATGATTTTTTAAAATATATTTCCTTGTAGAATTAAGAACTTAAAACTTGTATACTATTAAAATATAGATTCTTAGTTAAGATTTTATGCTATTCTTATTGGTATAACATAAATAAAAAATAGTTTAATAAAAGTTTGAATGTAAGACACTAAAACCTTGGGCTTAGGATTCTTCTACAGTAGGTGTCTGTGACTTGTAGGCAATAAATGAACAGCACTCACTCCACTTGTTTTCAAAATAATATATATATTCGAAACTAGCTAAACGTATGTACAACAAATTATTTACACTATAGAGATCATAATGATATCATAAACACTATGTAGTTCTCTTCTTCTTGTCAAAAGCCCACTTAGACCTATTTAATTGCTTTAGAATTTCAGTGGACAAGCCGAACTATTTTTCTTTATTACTATCGCCAAACTATCCGAGTATAGTTCACTTACGTTATCGTCGAGTTACCACGGTTGTATCCTATACTTCTAAAACCGTCTGTTCTATTTTCTCTCTTTGTATTTCCGAGAATAGTCTGTCTATTTGTCAAAGTACACTGAGGCAAGTTCAATTACTTTAGAACCCTATTTCACGAAATAAGCTATTCGTCTTAGCTCTATAAACACCGTTAGTCTCACTCTAATATATCGGCCGTTAGGCCTATATTAATATTTAGGCATTCTACTCCTACGAAGATTAACTTTACGTTTAACTTTTCTTTGGCCTAATTGCTTCTCGTAACTTTACTTCTCTTTTGCCCTGTCTGTGTGTGTCTGTCTATCTCACACTGTTTAAATGTTTATTACTTAATCGTCTGCTCGTTATATCCTCGGCATCAATAAATTTTACGAGATGTTCTATAACCTAAACATCAAAGAGTTATAAACACAACATATGACTCTTACCAATTTACGTAACTAAACTTGTCATAACATGTACTTTAAAATAATTGCTTCTAACTCTCTTGTTATGAACAAAACTAAATAATCACAAAATATTCACTCACAAAATAAATGAATCAATAATATCTACACTAAACAGTATTTTATATCATGACAATTACTAATATACCACTGTAAAACACTTATATTACTCTCATATATACAGAAATACTCCACTAGGGCATAACATTAATAATACACCATTTTAAAACACTTATATTACTCTTATATATAAACAAATACTCCACTAGGACATAGCATTACGAACATACCACTGCAAAGCACTTATGTTACACTTGTAGATCACCAAATACTCCAATAGGGCATGACATCATTAATATACTACTTTAAAACACTTGTTATACAAGTATACATTATATTTCAAATACACTAGAAATAGATTTACGCAAGCTGATATTTTAATGTTGAATTTTTAAATAGATGTGTACATTGAGACACTTCAAATACACTTACTTGAACATAACACCTCAGATGCCTCACTAACATAAAACCAGGTTAAATATACCAGCATTAATTATTAGCAGCACATAAAAACGTTGAAGTTCTTCAAATTAAAATATTAGAGCTACTCACTTCATTAAAACTCCTATATAATGGAGCCTTTGATGTTCGAGAAGTCTCAATACATAACGTCACTAGTACATGATACTAGTACATAACACATCAGTATTTCAGTATTCTAACATGGAATGTTCCAAAACTTTCTGCCGAAGCCTCTGGAATATGTGGGTCAAAATCTCGCAATAAAGGAAAAAAGTTTCAATATGATGAGAAGTCGTTGTAATTGTATCTAATTGTAAGTTACCCTACATTACGGTCTCTCGAGAACAACATGTTTGTATGCATAATAATATTAATATTATTCGGTTTAATATTATAAAGACATAAACGAGCAAATGAATATAAATTTAGCTTGAATTTCTATACAAAGTTACTCCTGTTTCTGGACTTTTTTTGTATATAATTTCATGCTCATCTATAAAGTTTGATTCCTTTGGCATTTCATGAATGTACTTTATCATAATTAGAACATCAAAAATATCCCGACACTCACTCGAAAATACGTTGTTGCTGTTGTAAAAGATATGTTGTCAATTAATATGACTTTTAAGTCTTTAAGTACCCATTAAAACAAAAAATAAGAGTGTTACACTATTTTTTAATAAGATTTCATATTCTCTCGAATAATTGAATTATTAATAACATGAAAATGTTTTTTAAAGATAGAAAAATATAAAATAACAATGGCTAGATCATTTATGTATATGAATATTTTCTTGAGAGCACCGTATGAAGAGAATTTGTTCTAGGGCATTATTGTTGTTATTGTTCTTTTTCAGAGAATTTGTTCTAGCACATTGTTGTTGTTTTTTCAGATAATTTGTTCTAGGGCATTATTGTTGTTATTGTTCTTTTTCAGAGAATTTATTCTAGTACATTGTTGTTTTTTTCTCAGATAATTTGTTGTAGCACATTGTTGTTGTTTTTTGCAGATAATTTGTTCTAGGACATTGTTTGTTCTTTTTTTTTTCAGGATGCGTAATGTTGATATAGTTATACTAATCGTATCTGCAATTTTTTTTACTTTCTTGTGGCTTCTGATAGTCTGTCAAGCATCGCAGGTGTGTTCCTTTCGAAATGAATCTAATGAGGAATCTTCATATCTGATCATGGCGGAACACAGGCCTAACACCAACACTGTTAGTAATAACAACCGTACTTATAACCGAGTACTGGAAGAGTACCACGACAAGAGTTGGGAGCTAGACAGACCTCCAGATTATGAGACGACGGTGCGAGAAGAGAATCGTTGGGCTGAAACTGCTTCCAGAACAGACTGTGAGACTACTAAGCCTACTTCCATTTATGTTCCACCTTTTCCTACAAAACCATTTCCGGTGGCTCCTGCATGCACGATAGATGGGTGTGAAAAATAATCTGGAACAGAATAGGTTTGATTGAAAAATTGTTCGCTCCCAGATTTGTTTGTTGAGTGGCGAAGAGCAAATGAACAGTTTCAGTTTCTTGCTCGTGGATGAGGGTATTTTCGTAGTTTGCTCGTTTAAAACCAGGCAGAATAATAACTATCCTCTTTCCTATTTAGTTACATTAAAGTGAATGTAATATATATATATATATATATATGTATAGCTCATTACTCGGGCATTCTTCAACAAATTTTATTAATCATAAAAGATTGTATTTAGACAGATACGAAACTGAATTTTAATATGTCGTCGCCTTGACAGTCAGTGGCTTTCTTTTTCAACCAAAGTTTAGAAAATAAGACCTTATACATCAAATAACTTTTGCTGATAGATTTTTAAATGTGAAGTTTTATTTTCTTAAGAACCAGTAAAATAATTGGAACTTAAGTCCACGTTGTGGTACTTTATTTTAAAAATGTCTAACAGCTTTACTAAAATACATTACACAATTAACATTATTCTCCTCTACTTACATCAAACTCTTGCGTTAGGTTAACCACTGCTTATACTCTTTAATATTTGCTACATGCTGGTGTTTGAAAGTTTTCAGAAAGATTCATGTAAGGAAAATAAATCATGATTTGTTCATGGACAATGTGGTGTAGAGTATTTCTGAATAGGTACCCTACTGAACCTTTTTTTTTACCGTATATTGTTACATATTCTTGAGTTTTAAAAACTCCATTTGCGTGGACCCAGAATATATTTCGATCGCATGTTCGATTGTTTATAGACGACACCATTTAGTTAGTTTAAACTCGAAAACGTTATTAAAAACATGAATAACAATAACCATGAATGTGCTTTAAAAACCAAACTTATAGAGGTATTGGTGATTGATATGCGTTAGCATTAGGATAGTTTATTTTTTATTTTAATCTGCTATCATCATCCGATGACCTGTTGATGATTATGAACTGGCAGAACTATAAAACAATCGTGAATAATATATAATTCTTTACAATGTTTGTTTACCCTTCTATTTGAGAAAGTATTCATTTCTTGCTGATTTTAGTATATCAGAAAAAGCAAAAACTGTTGCTTCTCTTCTCAGAGTAACCTTCATATCTAGACGGCGACTACTTCAATATCCAAAATTTACTATATAATACAATAGTGATTTCATAAAACTGATCAAACTGTAAGCTGATGTGAAGATGAGTCAGAATAAAATTACCTCTATTACGAACTGTTTGTTGTTTGTTTCTTTTAAATCAAAGCAACATTGGGCTATCTGCTGTGTTCACCACGGGGAGTCGAACCCCGGATTTTTAGCATTGTAAGTCCGTAAACCTACCGCTGTCTTACCGGGGGACCAGTTATGAACTAATTTTTTCTTCAAGAAATGAAACTAGTTTGCTAATAATTGCTCCAGACTAAAAACTATCGGTACAAGGGTACAAGCGTGGGGTTTCGTTCTGATAGTATATGAAGAAGTCAATAGGCTTGTGAATCACGTGTAATTTGAAGTTGAACTAAGACTTATTTGTCACATGTCATTTCGATTATAGCTTTATCTGTTACGAAGGATAATATTCGTTAGTTCAAACGTTCCTGTTTGTTCATCAAGATATCTGTCCTCTTTGCTGTGGAGGCTGAAATGGATCAACTGTGAGAACGTGGCTGATCAAGAAACGTCGCAGGATCACAAAGAGATTAAATTGTTCATACATCATTTACCTTTATTTAGATCCGAATATTCAAGTGCTTATTTGATCTTTTAAGAATACCGCTAATGCACATGGAATACAAAATTATTCAATTAATCTAAAACTAAAGAATGCAGCAAGAAAAGAATTGGAATCCTATTGTTAATAAAACCTATCAAATTAACTAAATTAACAATTTTATTGGACCCGAATGTTGTGTAAAGAAATTGGGTGTATTGCCAAAGTGAAATACTGGTACTAGAGTGATATGAGAAAAATTCATATATATATATACCAGGGTTGTCCTAAAAGTGTGTGGACTGACCTATAAGAAACAACAACTGGAATGTTTTCTAATAAATATTAAGTTTGAACCTTTTTATAAGTAAATAATACTTAACATATAACTTAATGACCTTATTTTGTGTGTTGTGAATTTTTAAAAAGAAGTGAGCAGTGTTAAATGTCTTGGAGAAGATCGAACTTCGTGTCGTGGTCAAATATTTTGTTAAAAGGAAAATGACACCTCAAGAAATACACCGGGGCAACATTAAAAGAGGGTACTCCGGCATATTCAACAGTGAAAAAAAGTGGTGTGCTGAGTTTAAGCGTGATAGACAATCACTTGAAGACGAACCGAGGGTAGGTCGGACCTCGACATCGACCACAACAGAAGTTGTAAATAAAGTTCACGATTTGGTTATATATATTATAGAAAAATTACTATTAGGAAGTTAGCAGAGGAAGTGGCAATCGATAATAGTGCTGTAGCAAGCAAGCAGTTTGCGCATGAGTAGGTTTAGTGCCTGATGGGTTCAAAAAAAATGTGGTCACCTGAGCAGAAACTGACCCGAGTTGTTTCAGGTAACCCTGATGATTTTATCAATAGATAAAGTTCACCCACCCCTTCTGCTGGGAAGGTCGTGACATCAATTTTTGTGATGCCAAGGGCGTTTTACTAGTTGATTATTTGGAAAGGGGTCAGACTGTTAGAGAAGATTACTATGGATTCTTAATTAATACTTTACGTCAATAAATCAAATGAAATAGAAGACAATTACTCACCAAAGGTGTGATATTCCATCAGGACAATGCCTCAGTTCACAAATCGCATGTTACTTTAAACGCTATTCATGATGCTGGCTTCGAATTATTCAGTTATCCCCCTTTACTCACCGGATTTAGCTCCAAGTGATTTTTTTTTCTTCTCTAATCTTAAAAATTCTCTGAAAGGTCGAAAATTTCAGTGTGATGGTTATCTCGTGCAGTCATGGATTGAAGATTAAGTAGGACAGTTCTTTGGGAAGGACAAAAAGGCCTTAGAGCACCCTAGCACAAGTGTATAGACTCAGGAGGAGATTATGCTGGAAAATAAATCATAATTGAATCAGTGTCTTTTTTTTTTCTTTATAGGCCACGAACTTTTCGTGTGTGTGTATTTCTACGTCTGCTTTGAAAATAAAACCATTTTAACATTATTTATTTAAAAAATTCATTTTTGCAAGATAGCTCAGTCTAATCAAATCAACACGAACTGCAAACGAATTTACAATGCCATGGGTTTTTTTTTCAGTTTTATTCATTGTAGTCCACATAGTAACATACTTGTCGAAATGAAATAAATAAATATACAACATACTTAAATTTTCTCCAAACACATATATTCTAACTCTATATATTTATATTGGCAATACAACTATTAATTATAGGCTTAGGCAAATTTTGTTGAATTGAAATAATCCAAATACATTAGAAAACTAATACGAGTCCATTACTTCAGAAACATACGTGCATCTGGTCTAGTGAGTTGTAAAATGCTTTACTCCAAATATCATTTCTGTATTTTATTTTATACGCATATATATAAGTAAGTCAGACCCAATCTATGAAAGCGTGTTTTGAATGCACAATCATTTCGTTTCTTATACCACATGTTCCTTAATGTAAACAAAACGTGAAATTACGTAAAATTTTCTCCAATGGTACTGGGAACGAGGGGACACTCTGAAAAGTAAAAAAGAAAAGAAAAATTAGTGAAAATGCATTTTTATTCTTCAGGTTTTAAATAATTTTTAATTTTTGGCGCAGATACTTATTTACAATCCATTTTCCTTCTTTTTCATTACAAAAAGGACGCTCAGTTGGGTCTAGCAGCATTATCTTGTTAATTCTATAGCGTTGCAAATATAATAGTTAATACTAAAACTTGGCTGAGCTGTTTCAGTTTGTCGTGAGATGTTAATTAATGTTTCATGTTACAGTTCTTACCGCTACAAAAACTGTACGAGCTATAGTTTAGTGAATACTTAATACACTGAAGTAGTTATGTAATAACCAAGGGTTCTTATATCAACTTTAAACCTTCATTTTTAAGTCAGTACTATCTACAGTTACTACGAAGTTACTTATCCTATGACCTATCTGATGATGCCTTGGTGTTTGTTTTCTTCTTCTAAAGCTCGTTTGAGCTCTGTTTAATTATTGTCCCTTAGCTTCAAATATTTCATGCATCCTATTTCACAATCACAATAAAGTATTCATGAATTGAGACTTTTGTGAAATAAGATTTAATGTTTGTTATGCCGTGTAATTAACTCAGATAATGCAGCTTTTGGTGGTTAATCTATTTCTGAAAAGAAACACAAGAGGTCGCTTTTAAGACGGAATACCGCCTTTGCAGTTTTTCCCTGCTCATTTCCTATGTTATGTTCAGTCGAATGATAATTTTGATTACATTAGGTGTATCATAATAATGATATAATGTATCATTATAATGGCTTTCGACTACAGCTAAACTATATATAGATGTTAAGGTTGCAACTTTCTACATCATTACTCATCTCAGTAAATCATGTTTACTCGTTTGGTTTATCATGACCTTCTTTCTCAGCTCTGAAGTCAATTATGACAGATGATGTTTCTTACAACTGAAAATGCGCTAACTGGAAAACAGTATTAAGTGATAAAGTGTAACCCTAACTCCTATCCTTAAAACATAGTTATACATGCTTGTCGTTAAATTTTATATCATTACTTCATAAATTCAATGACGAATCACAGCTGCTTACGGTTATAATTGTAACATTCTTATTTCCAGTCTACTATAAGAAAACCTATTATATCTCATTACTACTTGTGCTCAAACCAAGATAATTCATCTCTAAAAATTATCAGTGATGAATTTTCTGAGATACTATGTGGCGAAAACGAGTAAAAAATCATTCTCCACGAGCCACGTAGATGAAACCCCTGAATATTCATTTCAATCATATAATCAGAACCTACATTTTCTATCAGAATAGCAAAGAATAATAAGCACTACCTACATTCTGCATCAGAATATCAAATAATAATAAGCACTACCTACATCTTTTATCAAAATATCAAATAATAATAAGCACTACCTACATCCTTCATCAAAATATCAAAGAATAATAATCACTACTTACATCCTTCATCAAAATATCAAAGAATAATAAGCACAACCTACATCTTTCATCAAAATATCAAATAATAATAAGCACTACCTGCATCTTCCACCAAAACATCAAATAATAATAAGCACTACCTACATTCTGCATCAGAATAGCAAAGAATAATAAGCACTACCTACATCTTTCATCAGAATAGCAAATAATAATAAGCACTACCTACATCTTTTATCAAAATATCAAATAATAATAAGCACTACCTACATCCTTCATCAAAATATGAAAGAATAATAAGCACTACCTACATTCTACATGAAAGTAGCAAAGAATAACTATAATAAAAATAAAAAGTTCAACTTGATTAGAAATATGGCATGTAGGTGTTATTAAACTTACGAATTGACAGATTTCCTTTTTCACATGACGTGAGCGAGACAACATTTAGGCCACTTCCATTAACACAATGAGTGACACTGGACAGGGTGAAGAATGCCTTGAGCGATGCATTTTCTCATACAGTCTGGACCACGCTTCCGAAAGTCTGACTCAAGACTCCAAGGTCGAACTTCATTGGAGAGAACGGGATCGTCATTATCCAGCTTATTATAGTAGGTGTTGGTGTTTTTCAAAGGAAGATCCTGATGTGTGATCTTCCAAACGTATTGCGTTTTGGTTGGAATCATAGGGAAAAGTTGCTGAAGAAGTTGACTGAATGATTCCAAGACCAATTGGGTTTCATCATAGCCAGATGGGTTCGCAACTGTAATAATAATATGTTAATTGTTAGGAAATAGTGTGAGCATTTTGACGCATGATGCCACATCTTGTCGTTTATTATTAGCTCTGCAAAAGTATTAGCTGTGTGTAATCTATCATGATGTAAAAGGCATCAGGAAATTCCTGACTTTTCAAAACACATTATAAGGCTGAAAAGTTGAAAACTATAGTAATAAAATTGAGATAAGACCTACTTTATCAGAAATAATTTACCGAAAACTTCTATAATTTTTTTATTGCCGTGGACATGCTTTGGGGATTGTGACATCGTCTCCAAATTAGCACGTAAACATTTTGTATTGATCTTAGAAAAATCAGTGTTGTACTTTTTCATTCTACAATATGTTGCTTCTTTGTATATTTTAAAACCTTTATATCTGTTTTTTTAAAATTATGAAATTCAGAATTTTGCAAATAAACATTTGACCCGCTGTTCGTTAATCGTTTTATTACATGTAAACTGCACTTTGTTCACGGGATAATGATTTTTGATTCTCCCTACATTTCGAGGGGATGTTGACAAGTTAATTCCCACATATTATACAATGTTTTAATTAAATATTTAAGTTACTGCTATTTATTGTTTATAAGATAATGATGTACGTTTCACACAGTGCAGTAAGTTGTTTAAATTGTATTTCTTGCTCTTTCGTGTACTGATTTGCTAACAACAAATGAAACATGAGCAAATGCAACAGTAAACTACTGTTTGGAAAATGTGCAGTACTGACTTGTTAACAACATATGAAACCTAAGGAGATACAACAGTAAACTACTGTTAGAAAATGTGCAACACTGACTTGTTAACAACAAATGAAACGTAAGGAGATACAACAGTAAATTACTGTTTGAAAATGTGCAACACTGACTTGTTAACAATAAATGAAACGTAAGGAGATACAACAGTAAATTACTGTTCGAAAAATGTGCAGCACTGACTTGTTAACAACAAATGAAACGGTTTTATGGGACGTTAAAAAACGAAACGAAAACAGATTAAAATTTCCTAAATTTCCACCCTGCAGTAACTTTAAGAACTACAATGTTTTAGGTGTGTAGACATTATTCTGAGGAACATTCTTTCTGGAAATTATATTATCAAATTCTGAATAAAATCAAAATATTGTCATACATTATAATTTCAAAAATTAATAACAGTAATACTATTCTTTTTACTTATCTAATGAGGTGTCATAAAATTCTGCAAACGGACTAACACTTTTACGTCAGTTCGTGGAATCAAAAGTAAATATTAGAAATGATTCTACAGATAGCATAAAAACGAATACGGTAAACCTACTGAGTGAGAATGACTAAAATTACTTTTTTATGCATTTAAGGCAAACTATTTAGAAGTTAATATGTATTTAATATTATCTCTAGCTGTTAAACCTAGTATCTGTTATGGACAATGTCATGACCATGACTAATGAAGGCGTTCTTTTAATCTAGAAGTTTACGTTTGTTTGTTTGTTTTGGCTTTCGCGCAAAGCTATACGAAGGCTATCTGCGCTAGCCGTCCCTAATTTAGCAGTGTAAAACTAGAGGTAGGGCAGCTAGTCATCACCATCCACCGGCAACTCTTGGGCTACTCTTTTACCAACGAATAGTGGGATTGATCGTCACTTTATAACGCCCCCACGGCTGAAAGGGCGAGCATGTTTGGTGGGACAGGGATTCGAACCTGCGTCCCACTGATTGCGAGTCAAGCGCCCTAACCACCTGGCCATGCTGGGCCTTGAAGAAGTTTACGTAACAGCTGGCGAGTTTGGGCCTAAAAAGTGTATTTTATAATTAATAGTTTTTGTCCATAAATGTTTAATAATGACCAAAAAACAGTAAAAAACTTTGAAATTTTGTTACCAAACACCTTTTTTTTATCTGTTAACCAGATCCATGTCTTCTTTACTCTGTGACGTCACTAATACCATTAGATATAAAAAAGATATTTGATAAAAACCACTATTTGATGACTTTCTTTCAAAACTGAAGAGCATCTCTACAACTTTAAGAAACCATAAGTCTTATTATAATTTTCTAGGGGTCCCATCACCCCAGATGAAATGTGAAGTGTGTGAAGAAGCCTATTACCTTTCATTCATTTCCCATCGGAAGCTGGTTTCTTCTAATTTCCCTAAAGATCCATTATTATGATCAATGTTTTCTTCGACAAAAAAGATCCTTAAGATAAGTAATGCAAACAAAGGGAGTCGAGAAATGACAGGAAATTGTTTTAGACATCACCCGTTTAGAATGAGAACTATGCTTTAAATAACTGAAAACAGGATATTATGTGTCAGTGAAAATATTTTCCATTACTAGTTCGTTTATTTGCTTCTGCGTATTGTTAAAATTGTGTGTGTATTTGTGGGGGGGGGGGGGGGTAAAAGTGTGCAAGTAAAAATATATCTTCCATTGCTAGTTAGTTTATTTGCTTCTGCGTATACTTCTGTGTTTCATTTAAAGATTGCACCCTGGTGGCTAAACAGTAGGATTGAGAGCTTATGATGCTAAAATTGTGTGTGTATTTGTGGAAGGGGGATAACATGTGCAAGTAAAAATATATCTTCCATTACTAGTTAGTTTATTTGCTTCTGCGTATATACTTCTATGTTTAGTTTATAAATTAACTCTGTTGGTTCTATGGTAGGCTTGAGGGCTTATAGCTCTAAAATTCTGGGTTCACTCCCTGTAGCGGATACAATGCGGAGAGCACATTGTATAAGTTTTCGTTAAACTAACAGAAAGTTGAAAAATTATTGTAAAAACAACGAAAGATACAATTCAACGCACCAAATGTTTCCGTTATTTCATTCAACATATAGGCATATTTTAAATACGGTAATTCTTAATAGTAGGGATTGAAAAGGATTTCAAATAATTAACGCGTCGAAAAACCACTCTAACGATTACCTAGGCGAAAAACTGAACATTCAAAGTATTGGTTACGATATATTATGCGCATATATACTAATATTACGCTAAAAAGATTGCTAACGTTTCTGGTATAACAATTTAAAAATTTCTAAAACAGCAACGTTTTTGTCTACTACCTTCCTACCTGATCACGTCAGCGGGGCTAGCGCCTAGACGACTCAGACTATCGCTACAAGATTTCTCCAGCTTACTTGACTGGTCTGTGGGTATCTACTTCTGATATTCAGATAAAAATCCATATATATATATGCACGTACTTAAATATATTTTCGACCCAACGGATGGTGCTACATATCGATGGACAGACACGCGACAGTTTCTAAACGTAAAGTATATACTTTATACAGATATAACGTAAAAAGTAAACAAACAAGAGTATTAAAAATTATGAATTTTAAAATGAAGTAGGGATCTTGCTATAAAAAGTAATGAAATGAGAATTAAAACCACAATCACAAACTTATAAAATTTAATCCCTACTTTGGCAGCTTTATACACTTATCTGTAGGCCAAAGTAAGGATTAAATTTTATAAGTTTGTGATTGTGGTTTTAATTCTCATTTCATT